GCGAGAACTGCCGCCAAGATTGTATTGCTAATCGCAAAATTGACGTATGCAGTTTGTGCGATCTCCTCTTCTATGTTCTGTCTAATCCTTACCATATACGAACGGCCTCAGGCTTTTCCTTTGAGTCAAGCACCCCTTTGCGTCTGTTTCTTTCCTTGCTTACGTAAAGCTTGAGTAGCCTATCGTAGAGTAAGGCCTTAGCAAATGGTTCACGACCAGCAATGAACGAGAAACCTCCTTGGCTAAGTTCGTGCGTCATCCGGTACCCATTCGAACGTCTTTTCACCGCTTCTTTTTCGGGTCTTTTTCATTCGAACAGATGGGTATAGGGCTACTCAAAATAGCGTGCCGGCTGATATTTAACCTACGCATTTCGTTCTCAAACAGATCCCCCCAACAACGCCTCCCACCTCCAGCATCACAGCACTCTAGTTCTTCCAAAGGCCAGCAACATGTGAGTACGCCCTCTTTCCCACAGAAAAGCAGCAAAAGTACTATTCTACCAACTACCCCGTGAAAAGCGAGAGCGGAGTGTCTGCTACTTTGCCGTCGGTGGCAAGTTACATCGTCTTCCTTTGTAGTATGTTCCCTCCATTAAGCAAAGCTTAGCGAGCGACCGAAGAAAAAAATTCGAGCGGAATAAGCAGTGCCCCTTTCTCTCCTTCTTGACACAGATAAAGCAAACGTACTACACTTCGGAAAAACAGTCGTTTCAGGGGGGTGAGTGTCGTGGTAGCGACGGCTTTACGGTCATTTACTTTTGTGGTTGTTACACAAGGCGCGGTTTACTCTTCTTAATCCTCCGGCGATTAGTCCGCCTTATTACCTACTACATCTCCCACAACAACTACACAATAACATTTGCGTCCACTGGTATCGCACTATGTATCATTATATACTGCATATTGTGTCCTGTAAAGTACATGAGAACTGTAATTTTTAGTTTTGCGATGGATTGGGTAGGTGGCAGTGCAAACGTTGTCATAAATAGGACGCCAGGGTGAACAGGTTCCAAAGCGATAAATGAATTTGTGTACAAAGTGTATGCCTCGTTAAAGAGTTCCAAAGTATTTTATTGGCCTGCATAGAAATTACGGATGATATATATATATATAAAATCTTTAGGAAGAAGGTGACAGGATGCCTTTACACGTTCCCCTGCTAGCTTAAGACAATGCCCAACTCTACTTTGTTAGTTTCAGAATTAAGTTCGCAAAACTGTTTGATCTCAGAGGAAATCTAACCCTCGGATAGCTATTCACTCCCTCTCTTTAAAAGTTAGCATACCTTATTCGGACATTATATTACGGGTCTTTTTCTAAACGTAGTCAGAAGACACCAGTGGTGAAAAGGAACAGGAATCCTTGTGACTTCCCTCCAATTGTTTTCGGCCATCTAAGCAACTTTTAAAGGTGAAATGAGACAAAATTCCCGATTATACTTCCTTGAGCATCGCTGTCTCACTTCCGGCAAGCTTACTCAAGTAGTGTTAGCTATTCATAGACGACAAACATGATTTTGTATTAGATTATAGTTATTTAAAGAATATACGTAGACTTAGTCGTTAATAATAACAACTTCAGTAAATTCAAATTCTCAGAAGCAAAGATTGGCTGTTAGAGCCACTCACTCTTAAACCCAGCATAGAATCTCCTTCTTTAAAAAAAAAACCCACCATAATAACTCGAATGAATCATAAGGACACTTTGCCCGATTCCGAAAGCGTCATGGTTGCAATTGACTTTTAATTAAGTAATGTGTGCTCTGAATGAAGGTGCAAAATTTTAACCAAGCATTCTCGTGCTGCTCTTGTTCGTTTACACTGTACCAATGCTGCTAGGTCATACGGCATTCCCTGTGCACAATAATGACGTCAAAATATATAATACCAGATTATTTGCTTTCCGCCATTGTGTGTATTATCGCCTCGTACGATGTCATCATCTTACGAAAGCTACTCGAGGATGGTAGACGACGACGAAAACGGTAAAGAATGACTAGAGCTTGGTAAAAGACCCCGCTGGTTTTGTCCTCTAGCCGGTTACCATCACATTTTTGCTCGCTCGTCGCCTACTCCGAAGTGTGACATTCTTTATATAGGTGTCACGCAACACCCCATTCCGCTGCCGCACCTCTTGCAGTTGTACATTGCTACACGTGACTTGTGCTTACTCGTCGTCAGTCGCCGCATGATTTAATTGCAGTTTCCAGATGGGTTACATGCTGTACGTCGCCGCCATTCTGGCGTTTCCTTTCCCGTCCTGGTTTCCTCGTTCTCACCTCGTCGGTTTTTCCATTTCTCTGTCGGACCCGACTCAAGAAGTCGCTGTATTATACGCACAGGAGAAGGCGAACAAGAGGTTTGCTTTCAGTGTGTTCTTCAACGTGGGCTGTACAATACAAGCAACTGGCGCACTAGCCAGTTGACCCAGGCTCCAGTACACGACACCACTAAAAGCCCACGTCGGGCCGCTTTCGAGGTCTTCGCATATTCGTCACACGGTTGGTCAAAACATGTACCAAACGACAAGCATGCGGTATTCTGTCTGCATAGAAAAAAAAAGATGAACATTGCGACACGCCAGTCACTGATCGTACGCAGGATCAGAGGAAGACGACGACGACAATGAAAAGGGCAGGCATGCGCGGAAAAGTTAATAGTTGCAAAAGATTTAAGGAAGCTATTGAGATTGCGCGCAAGCTATTAGCGTAGCTGAGACTTTTTCGTGAAGAACTGCTAGTTTACTGTGGCAAGTAGACATAAGTCCGTTACCCGATGAGTTGTCATTAGATTGACCCGCTTGAAACCTATGGAACAATTTAACGAAATGCGTACAAAGGTTCATGTAAACCAGCTACGATGTTGTCTGTATATACCAATGTGTATATGTTCAAGTGATTTTTTTTGTGGTGGGAGATAAAGTTAAACTTAATATTGGATTTGTTGATTCGGCATTTAATGTACATTTTGCTCAAATTATGCGCTGTTGTACTGACACGTCGCTAATAAACAAAACTATGTATTTCGATTACTATCGAAAGTGGCCCTCTGGTCTAAAGTATACTAGCCTGTTTGAATTAAACCGGGCTATTTATTTTTGTTGGTAACAGTACATTTACTACGGTTCGGCTTTTCTCAACAAGCAGAGCCCGATTTCTGATGTGAAGCTCTAGCCACTGATGTAAGCACACGTACGAGGTGAACCGAAATGTACCGATGTTCGTAAGCCGTAGGTCTGACGTCCTGCATTTACGCTATACGGTCGCCGCTAAGCTCTGGGGCCTGTCTCTCTTTGTATATGTGTGTTCCATGTGCGTTGTGTCCATGGCTTGTTCTCCACTTTGATGTTACTTTGCATTAAACAGTAGGCTCATCGCAAGCAGCCTGGCTTTGGGTGGACCTTGGAGATGTTCCTAAGCTCAGTGTTCTGTGTGCCCCGACGTGTCGCACTCCGCTTGCGTTGGCCGAGTGAACACAGTTGCCTGAGTTACACACTTACATCGAGAGAAACTTGCCGGCTTCGCTACTGTTTCCGCCACCACCGTCATCAGCAATGCTAAAACACTACACAACACGAAAGAGAGCCCCTGGCTGCCCCCGTAGACGTAGGTGGGGTCCAAAGGGTTTCAGTCGGATGGTTGCACATCGCGCAAACAACGCTCCCGCAGTACCAAGGCGAGCCGAGCCAGTGGTATAGCTCCGGCTGTGCGTAGCATGATAAGCCGCTACCGGGACAAACCGACGGTGAGAGGAGGATGACAATGCGGTGCCCACAAGGTGAAAGAGAGAGATATCGGTGCGGCTTGAACGAAATACTACTTGCTCAGCCTCCATGACTAACAAAAGCGAGGTTATGCTGCAGAAAGTTTAATAGACCACGGACAAACTTAGCTTGACTGTGGAGGACGAGTATGTCACTGAGTAAAGGCAGACATGCATTTGGGCAGTCGGTCGGTGACGAGAGCGAAGGGCTATTGGCCATACGACAGTTTGTGTTTGGCTCCGACGTTCGGTTCGCTTGGGTACCTGCTATCGGGTCCTGGACTTCACATCGGCCGTATCCCTGAAGGCAACCCACAAGACCAAGGACAGTAGCAACAATACTAAGAGGTGGTTGTTGGAGTCGGGGTTGGTGGAGCTGAGGCCGCAAGACAAAATAGCTGCTGCCCACTCCACAACATTTCCTTAGGCGAAAATTCTACAACAGTAGATATGTGAAACGACATGGAGAGTGGTACCTCCGAACCAGCCGATTGTAGCGTGACATTTACAATTGAAGCAGCTGCTGGAAAAGAAGACATAACTTCCAGCTACTTGAGTCCTGGCCGAAGGCCGGTGCGGCAGAGAAAGGGTAGTGTTAAAAATCCATAATGGCTCGCGTATCTTTGAGAGTATGCGTGTGAGCCTTTTTAGCTGCTTCAACCCTCCATTTTCTTTACGACACTGAGATACTGAGACCCGCTAGTTAGACAGACATTGGGAAAATTAACTACTAATATCTAACTAATGTACATGAGGATTGAATGCGAGTTAGTGTGGACAAACTACTAGAAATCGCAACGGTTCCTGAACGACCGTCTCAAAAAGATCTAGCTTTAAGTGTCGCATTGGGCTTGTGTTTAATAGGAATAGATTTGTTGTAGCTTGTTTATTATTTTGAGTTCACACATGTATGCTTCCCCGTTGGCTAATCTAGAATCACAACGGTTTTTGCTCGGCAAAGAAGTGGAGCACTTTGTTCCACTTTATTTAGGTATAGACATTGATGTCCTTGTTTCGCTGGACTAACATATATATAGAAAAAAATATATATAGATATTTTGACTCTTTTCTCCCACCAAAGCTTACATTATAGAAAACGTAAAAACTTTTTAGCAAAACACGTCTGATGGATTCAGATTAGTTACCGGACAAAATGCATTTTAAGCATCTTTACACTAGCAGAGGGTACTTTAGATTTATAGTACATAACTAAAAAGTAAAAATAATTTTCACTTACTGTCGTCACCGTTTGTGAGACTGTCGAGACTAGAGAGGTTGCATTTGCCGCTGAGGCATCGCTGCCTAAATTTGTCGCCTGTCGAAAAGACATAGAAAACAAGTCAAAAACGAAATGAAGATCTATTTATTATAAAAATCGCTAGATCATAGTGTTTTTTTTTTTAATTTAGATCTTTATCATTCACAGCAGCTGATCCGTAAACAGCAAACTATTTTCAGTAACAGTGCGTCTAGATGACTCTGATGATTGGTTCTACAATTTGTCATTTAAGAGAAAACAACTCTGCGTTTGAAAGAATAAGAACAGCGAGTTTTTTTTTTCTGAGTAAGCCCAAAGTACGATAGAGAACTGGAGTGGTGCTTATGAAAATATAAAAACCATACACTTGGAGTTTGGCTAATTGGGTTCGACTAAGTAAATGGTCAGACCAAGGACTACATCGCTTAGCAAGGAATATTTGTCTTTAAGATGTTTCTCTCGCAATCGTTCATTTGATCCTGTTCTTCACAAAGGTAGCCGTCCAATGACGTCGTAAACGCAATACTCAAACATTATTGCATATTGTGCTAAGTTTAAGGGGCCAAGTTTAAGCAAATGTAGGTCACTGAAACCCACAATTATTCATTACTTCTAGACGGGATGTAAGTTAAATTATTAATTTGCGCAATTGCATAAGTAGCACACATATTCAGGGTTCGTTAACATACTACAGTTGTAGTCAAACTTGTTCGAACTTAATATACCCCCCCCCCCCCCGCCCGAGCCCTAACGCGTAAAGGATCTTTGGCCTTGTTTTTATTGGCTTCCCTCGTATGTTGCACGTTTGCCATACCGTATGTACTTTATCTTGAAACGGGTAGACTGATGCCATCTGTGCTAGCAAATTGCGAAACTTATTTCTCACCATTAGCCGTGTCTGAAGGGATACAGGCTGCTCCTCCTAATCTAAAGCTCTTGAACGATTCACTTCAGATGCAAATTCTGCGTCGAGATAAGTAAAGGGCGCATGTACAAAGAGCTTCAACAGGTTGCTAGAGCGCCTATTTATAGGTTCCGTCCGCCAACTTTAGCCTATCACTACTACGTTTACCAGCATCACCGGCAACTCATAGCAACCGTAGAGGAACTCCCTTTCCTACACATTTAGTAGCCCTGTTTATTCACACTTACACAAAGACACCGTTTGCCGTATGCATAGATCTGAGTTTCTGCGCCCTTTCCAGCCGCCTACACATTCTCCTCTTTATGAGTGCCCTGGCCAACGTGTGGCCCGAACGAAGGAAGTACTCGCTAACACCAGAGAGCTGCTCATTTAAAGTTTGTCAAAGGCGGTAGCAGGCTGAACCCGAAACAAACGATAAGGCCACACTCTGCTGCGCATAGAACGGTGGTTGGGGGAAACCGAAACGAACATAGCTTCTTGGCAGCACAGGGAACAGATAGGGGGCTCCCAGGCGGCTATAGTACCGACACATCTAACAGTACGCTCGGTGCAACATGACTACAGTGATGGAGGCAATGAAGATCGCCGTTGTTGTTTTCTTCCTCTTCTAAGCTTCCTGTCCAGTGCTGGCAGGCGACACAAACAAATAGAGAATACAGAGGCCAGATTAAATCCTAGATTTTCGGAGGGACTACTGAACCAGTCATTCGTTCACCACTGGCGTGTGGGCGTCTGCCACAACCGAACTGCTAATGGAATGGGAAACCTGTGGAAAAGACGAAGCGAACGGACTGCGCAGAGATGTGCCAGAGGGTCTATCGGATAAAACCGGAGATGGCATAAAGATGGGCAAAGAACGTTGCTGCCAGAGTCACACTCTGCCAAAATAAGAAAGAAACTTTGGAAGTTTATTGTTTTTAATATGAGCTTTCTTGTTGCAAACGTATCCGTACGAAGAGCTGTTTCTACCATCTAGTTTAGCCGTAATAGTTGAACGACAGTCACAGCAATGAAACCTCTTCCGCTTCTCAATTTTTTTTCCTCTTTCCCTTCACTACGGACGAGCCGACATAGTACAGAAGCTGCAGCTAGCTTGGATTGCTGTCGTCGAGCGGAGTTCTAGAGACGCTGCAAGAGCTACCTCTGTTCTTCACAACTCTTTCAAAAATGCTACTGCCACCAATACTATTCCCCTCCATTACCGGATGACGCATCCATTGGCCGACTTGAACGGCAGTTATTGCTGTTGAGGTGTCTCTCTCCAAGGTCTAGTAGTGGCGCTAAAGACGCTGGTAGCCACGATGGCGCTATGGCGTATGTCCAATGTCGGTGGGCGACGAGCCAAGCTGACTACTCTAGCTTGGCATTGTTCAAGCATGGTCGGTCGTATTTTACTTTTTTCCACTGCAAAGTGACAAAAAATTCGACGTATTTTACGGCTCGAGCCATCGTTGCTGAGGATCATCCCTGCTGTGGTAAAGGCAGCAGAAACAGCACCAGCTCCACCACAACATTTCCCATTTCTCCATTCCTTTCTCTCTCTCTCTCTCTCTCTCTCGTTCTCTCACTCTCTCTGTCGAAATTTCAACTTGAGATCCAATACGACATAGGTCGAAGTGGCGCTACTCTGCCGTATTCTTTTGCGTGTTGACTCCTGCCAAATTGGCCGTAAACAAGCTGTTGCGTACCTTGTAGTCGTATGTCTGGTCCGCAGGACAGGGAACAGAACAGAGAGAGGCCTGGCTTCTTACAGATAGAACACGTCGCAGGCTATGCTGTGTAAGGGAAGGTGATCTTGAAAATAGTGAAAAAAGTAGAGGCACGATGTTAGGCGCAAAGCTTCATGATCCTTCATTCTGAGAAGGTGTCAAGTGTTCATGCAGTTTACCACACGGTTTGTACAGTTCTTATAAACCGTGTCTAAGATTTGACAGAGCCTATTTATATTTCTTTGCATCTACAATGTGCAATGAGGCGAACAAAGAACACACATACATACATCCATTAAACATTGATATCAAAGCAATTTCGATGAAAAGTTGTTTACAACAAAAGGAAGCATAAAATATACATTTGATGCCCAATTTTCCTTGTTCATATGGAGTTTGGAAATTTTCGAACAGGGAAAGACCCTGTTTTATCCTTCTTGATGAGAACGAAAGGCAGATTCCAGGTTCTTCTTTCCTTAAATCTTACGATCATCGAGTAAACCCATTAATCGCACTAGACACTATGATCGTAATAACAGTCTCCTAGTTGTTATATCTTATAGTATACATGTAACATTGTAAACGTATTTGCTATATCACGTTCATTAACCAAAATCGAAAGCATCGAGCATACGATCTTGCAAGTTCATGCGATCCATAAGCCACACCATCTAATGATGATACCGATCTCATTCGACATTTGCTTCTGTATTAACGATACAGATCTGTCACCTACCTAATGAGTCATTTAATTTTCGCTGCCTCTCATTGTTTTTTCCTCATAAACCATTTAGGCTGACATGAGAATTTTATATTACGTTAGTGGCTTTCTAGCATCCTTATACGATATTTAAATCTTATGTTCAAATTTTCATTATCACTGCCAATGCCCCTTCAGCGAATGTCATCGTTTGTCTCCTCATTCTTCTCTGTCTCGGTTCATAAAATTACTTTCTGCCTGCTGGTGATAACGATTCCCAGCTTATTTTCGCTGTTACTAACCCCATCTATTTCGGTTTCTTTGCGGAGCTACCAACCAGCTCATGGTTTGAATGCACGGTAAGATCAACGGCGTACGCCCCCTCAAATTCAGTCCCCCTGAAACCGTGTAGAACATCTCTGTAAGCCGATGGTTGAACGTTTTTGACTTGTGATGAGGATAACACGGCAATATGTGGGGCATATTCAAATAGTAGAGCTGTAAATAGAAGTATTAAACCATTAGGAACTAGCACGGAAGGGAACATAGCGCGCAAAGCTATAAGATGGTGGGACGGTCCAATGGTAGACTGCCAGCAGAGGCTGCAGTTTGAATGGAACTTGGGGCTAGGGCCAGTTTGAAAAGCTACAAGAGGCTGGCAGTAAAGGGTCCATAAGCTTCGACAGAACGAAAAAACGACACCGTACTGATGAGTGCAGCTTGTACAAAGGGTTTGTGAACCCTCTTATTCGTGAGATGTCACCAGCCTTCGAATGCTGTGCTCCGTAAAAGAAGTATGAAGGTGGTGAGTGGGAAAAAAGGGAGAAGGGTTGAGTGTCCTAGGATGACGGCGTCTCGGTTCGTGACGGGCTCTTGGCTGGATAGAGGTAGAATACTTTTTCGAAGAGACGGATGTACGTTGCCTTTGGCGAGCACACGTGTTGTGCTCTGCAGATCCCTATTACAGCAAACGTCTTGAGCAGTTCAAATACGCCCGGTCAAGCAAATCAGTGAGCCAGCTAACGGCGCTGCGGTCGGCCGCATGCTAAATCTGGATGCGAAGTGTTCATTTTTTGAGAGCCGGTGTAAACAACCCTGTCTAAGGAAAACAGTAACAACAAATTCGCCTATTGCGCTTATGCGGGTCCAGGGCCACTGCAAAAGTAATTCTAACAGTTATATGAAAATTCGATCAGGAAGCAGTATCAAAAAATACTGCCGTACTATAAAACTTAGACTTTATTAATGCATCGTGATCAGTTCACTTTTCAACAATGCAGTAAATAAAAAAAATTCAGATGAGGAGATCTGAAATATTTTGTTTCAATATTTTTTTTATCACAAATCTTTATATTTACCAGCAACAACTACCGTTTGTTACGTGAGAGTTTTATTTCGCAATTAAAAAGCACTCGACAGAGATTATAAAAACTTCGTGGAACCTTTGAAGGCTGTGCGATTAATATATTATTACAGCAGAAATCAACGCTTGCCCGTACGCTCAATAATACTTGTCGACTAGCGTAAAGGGTTTGGTATACCCCAAGGGGTGTCTTAATCTGCAATTTCCGGAGGCCCTATCATCATAAAATAGTACTCTACTGCAGAAAATTTTACAGTTGCTTCTTTGCAACTGCAAAAGTGCATCCCTAGCGTAGTGCTACCGAAACGGGTGGCAGCGAACGATTGGATGCTATCTGCCATACAACAACACCGATGCGAT